TGCCTTCACTTACACCTCCTCTGGCCCTGCAGGGTGTCTGTGGAGTCAGGGGAACATGACATGGGCCTGGAGTGTCCCTGAACCTGCAGCCCCGCATAGCAGAGCTTCCTGTCATTGTGCAAGCTCACGGTATATGCAGATAGACGCTTTGGGCTCCCGTCTTCCTCTGCTTTGCACCCTGCTGTTTTCTTTGGGATGTGTGTCTGTCTGGGTCAGTGTGGGCTGCTGTAAGAAACCACAGGCGAGGGGCTTACATAATAGATCTTCATTTCTCACTGTTCTGGGGGCTGGGAAGTCCAAGAGCAAGGGGTGGCAGATCTGGTGTCTGGTAAGGGATCCCTTCCTAGTTTGCAGATGGCATCTTCTGGCTGTGTCTTCACGTGGTGGAGAGAGGCCATCTCCCTGGAGTCCCTTCTCATAAGGGGCCACAGTGGGGTCCCACCCTCAGGACCTCAACTGACCCTAATCACCTCCCAAAGGCCTCACCTCTCAATACATGTGATATGGTTTGGCTGTGTCCCCACCCAAATCCCACCTTCAACTGTAGTTCCCGTGATCCCCATGTGTGATGGGGGAGACCCTGTGGGAGATAGTTGAATTTTGGGGGTGGTTACCTCCATGCTGCTATTCTGGTGACAGGGAGTGAGTTCACAGGAGATCTGATGGTTTTATACGGGGCGTGCCCCGCCTTTGCCCAGCACGTCTCCTTGCTGCTGCCATGTGAAGAAGGATGTGTTTGCTTTCCCTTCTGCCATGAGTGTAAGTTTCCTGAGGCCTCCACTGCCATGCGGAAGTATGAGTCAATTCAACCTCTTCCTATTGCTGTTGTTTTATAAATTACCCGGTCTCAGGCATGTCTTTACTGGCAATGTGAGAATGAACTAATACAGCCTCCCACAGGAGACAGCGTTTTGATGTATGGATCTGGGGGACGCAAACCTTCAGGCCACAGCAGTGCTCTGTGGTTCTCCTCCCTGGGGCTCCCTGGCCCAGGCTGCAGTATGTGGATGGGTGATGAGCACTGGTGGGTGTCCTGTCTTGGGTGCTGAAGATCGAGCCTGTGAACACACTCTGCCTTTTGGAATGCGGGCTTGGGCGGGCCACGGTGGAGGCACCGTGGTCTCTGTGGCGTGGGCGGGATGTGAGGGCAGGCTCTGGAGCAGGCCCCGCCGTCCTGCACTTAACACAGGCACTGCTATCTCAGTCTCCTGCAAACACTCTTCTCTTAGATAGAAAAGCAAATATATCCATCTGCTTATATATCCAACCTGTATAAGCAGACAGAAGCTTAGTTCAACAAATGAACTGCCCATGTACATTCAATATATTCGATTTCCCCTGCTTATTAAAATGGAATGTGTTGTATGAGACCCTTGACCGTCACTATCTCTTAGGCTAAATACACAATGGAATGAAGAGAGCCCTGGATGCAGCAGCTTGAAGACGCCGGATGCTTGCTCCTCCCATGTCACGTCCTGAACCGATTGTTCTAGGTGTTCATGGCCACACAGGGACCCGGGTCTCCCCATGTTGCTCCCACCCCAAGACCACCACCGCCCGGCAGGTGTGGGTCAGCCTGCGGGGAGTGGGGAGGAGTGAGAAGGCAGCAAGGCCGCTCTCTGCAGCCCCATCCAAGCCTGGGCGTGGCATGGGCCGGAACAGGCTCCTGGAGTGCCTACGCGGCTGGGCCTGGCATGGGCCTGGCAGGGCAGCCCTGGCCTGATTCCCTCCCTGGGGAGGAAGTCTGAAGCCTGCACTGCGAGCCGTGGCACGCCGTGTGTTAACTGTCCTCGTGCGAGGAGCCTGTGGACCCAGAGCCCTTCTGAAACGCAACCGATTTAATTAATCAGTGTTGTAATTATCATCGTTTTTGTGCTGAGAAGATTACAACTTGGCAGGAGGGAGAGCCTTCAGGCAGGATGCTGTGCCCTTCTGGAACAACCCCTGGTGTCTGGGAACGCATCCTTGCTTTCTGGCAAAACAGGACGTTCTAGGGCTTTCTGGATATTTCCTCCCTAGGATGTGGACTCAGCGGCCTCCAAGGACCCTTGGCATCTTCCACTGCAGAGGAGACTCCAGGCACACAAAAAAGTGATCCGTGGCTCATTGTAGAGATAGGATTGGAGAAACACTGTCTTTCTCTAAATAACATGAGTTTTCACGATTTCCCCAATTGCACATATAATGCTGCTGCCATTCTTTTCCCCAGTGCTGTGCCTTTTACGTGGATGTGGGCAAGGCCGTGGTCTCGGGGTCTGTGGCACCAGAGGGCTGTGAGGAGGTGGAGGCTGGAGGTGGCAGCTGCCCTGATGTGCAAGGAGCCGGGTCCGGCCGGCTCCCGTGTCTGCACAGATTCCTTCATCCTGACCCGTCCTGACCCTGTGTCCCTGGAGAGTGGCCTCTGCCCTGGTCACAGTCCCTGTCCTGTTCTTATGGTTCCAGGGCACCCTAACTGAGTCCGTGTTGACCTCTGTGGACCCAGCCACGCCTGGAGCCATAGAGAAGAGACCCATGTCTTCCAGGGACTTGCTCAGAGCAGGCTGCTGGGACAAAAAGCATTTCCTGCCTCCTTTTCTCCCTCCTTCCCTCCCTTTATCCCTCTCCCTCCCTTCCTCCCTCCCTCCCTTCCTCCCTCCCTCCTTTTCTCCCTCCTTCCCTCCCTTTATCCCTCTCCCTCCCTCCCTTCCTTTCTCCCTCCCTCCCTCTCTCCCTTTCTCCCTCCCTCCCTCCCTTCTTTTCTTCCTCCCTCCCTGCTTTCCTTTGTCCCTCCCTCCCTTCC